TCTGCATTCGTTGTCCGAACTTTCGTGCTAATCGAAGTTATGCGCAGCTGCTTAGCACCGGCAATGCGGGAGCCCAGAAAACCTGCAGGTCAACATTTTGCGGGCTGACCGTCATGGTGGCGAGCAAGGTGTTGTTCACTCGGGAATGCACGTCCATTTGAAGCAAACAAGTTCCGTAGGTGATGACGACGGTCAGGCAATCAATTGCCAGACTGGACTCGGCTAAATTATAAAAACAAGAAGACGGGCACGAGAGAAAATGCAGATAGACTTATACAGTCTGTTCCGGGCTTATTTCATCTTCAGTCAGCCAATCCAGCAATCCGGACTACCAGCTGGGACTGGAACCTCACGCATGGATTGGAGTACCGCAGAGGTAGCCCACAGATTAGGTCTTGCAAGTAGGTCATAAGCATTTCATCAGTGCCTGGCCCCACCGTTTATTCTTCGTCGCTGCAGTTCAGGTATTTGTTTCAACAAGAATGGCCGTGCCCCCCTCCCCCGAAGCTATTCGCTCTGGGTGGGTGGCATAGGTCACAAACAGGTCGAAGTCGGTCAGGTTATGATAGCCGCGGGAATAGTGCGACAGAAAATGTGGGTGAATTGTGGCTTTCATTCAATCAAAATCCTTGCCTGAACGTTGGACAAATAACACAAACGTACGCGTCCTTACGACGCTATTATAAATTTACCGATTGCGAGTTGGTACTTTGTTGTCTGTTCGTGACTTTTGCTAGCTAGCTAGGCTTCGAGAAGCTAGAAGATCAGTATGCGCCCATTGCTGCTCGGATAAATACCGTTTGTGGACCATCTGCGACGTATGCGAAGGCTCGATTTCATCCTAGCTGAATTAGCCAGAATTATGACTGACTGCAAGAGGGCAAAACGTACGGGTGCCGGGCACTTCATCGAGACCTTGTTCATCAGTGCCTTCATACTTGTCATCCTCTGCTGTTGCTGCAGATCAGGTATTTTTTCAAACAGCAATAGGCGCACACCGAGTATAATAGCAGAAGCTCAGCAGGACAAGAGCGCATTTCGGAGTTATTCTGCCGTTATTCGGTCCATCAGAACCCTGACTAACGGCTGCACTAGAGAGGGAGAGACAGATACGCCCTATTTTGCAAATATTATTTCAAATTTTTCAGTAAGAAACGTCCTCCATTCAAAAGGAATAAAAATAGACACACAAACTCTCCACATCGGGAAATCCAACGTAGTTCATAGACGTCAATGACTGCAATTTTCGACTTCGTGGATAAATTGGACTGCTTTCAAAACGGCGCTAGCGTCCTGCACTGAGGACCTCAATGGTAGTTTAAATAAACAAAGAGGGATGCAAGTCAATTTTTGATGAGCGAAGTAGACCAACCGACGTATATTTAAGAAAATTTATATGCGGATTGAGGGAGGAAAAAATGCTAGCCCAATTTGACAAGCATTTTACAGTTATCTGTCGCTGCGTTTCTTTGGAAGTTGATGCGCGTCTGTTTGCAACCCGTTTGGTCCGTACATTTGGCACAGCAATGTCTTTCTACAGTGTGATAAATAAAGCCCCTCCAGTTAGTTTTTATCTTACCCAAATCTAACTCAGTATCAGTTTATTGAGGGAGAGATGGGCGAACGCCTTTAAGCTCCCTGTTGGTAAGAAGATGATAGGAAATAAATGGATACCAAGAAAATTTAAAAAGTACGACAATTGCACGTTCCGGGAAGACACCACAGTTGTTAGGTATTCGAAAAAGTAACAAAAATATGACTGCTCGCTAATCACGAGTAGTATTAGGTGATGTAATGTTTTACATAGTTTGTGTGTGGGTTTTTGATTGATGCAGGTCCAGTCTACTCTTAAACGAATTAAGACAAGTGGAGCGGACAACCTCTTCGGGAAGGATGTGTTACTACGAACTATTATGACGTTTAATATAGACTAGTCAGGTGTTACCTGCATCTTCTTTTTACGCCACTTTTCAGGTAAGCGCTACACACTAGCCGTGGCGCGACTTATCAGTTGCAATGACAGTTTCACACCTCATAGAGGATGGTAGTAAAGTTCTTAGATTTAAAATTCGGCCTGAAATACATATATCCGCCTCATTGAAGTCAAGTCAAGTTTATTAAGGAAAATATAGGCAAACGCCTTCGAACTTCCTATTGGCACAAAGTAGTTAAGAAATGCATCGGCACAGCCGAACATTTCGAAAAGGGTCGTTTACATAACTATAGGCGAATACTCACTTGTTTCAAGTAGTAAAATCACGTGTGGTGATGCCAGTTAACACGAACCAGCAGGTGTAACTGAGAAAGAAAGCAGACAATGAAAAAAAAA